GTTAGCGCGGGCGTCCTCTCGCTGCGATCTTTCCCTCCTTGCCGAAGGGATGTAAAGGCGCCTGTGTCCATCCGATGTCTGTTGTTTTGGTGCAGGGATGTCGTACGAAACTTCCCAGTGCGTTTTGCCAGGTATAATACCGGTCCTTAGAGGAGCATGCATGCCTCTCCAGCTGGTCTTTGCGTATATCCCCACTGTAAAGGCTCCCGTCCACAACTCGGTATACGTTCTCAGCTGTGTAAATAGGTTTAAAGCAGCCCTTGGAGTTCTTTTGCATAAGTAGAAAAGTTTGGTGAAAACGCCAATGAAAAGCAAAATTTGCTATTCATTTAAGATACACCTTCAAATACTTATGTGTAGGATTTTCAACAAACTATATTTGATTTAGTGTAACCATTAGCTAAATGGACTTTAGTTGATTCGTTCCGTCTGACCAAGTATACGTGTTGTGGAAATGTTGGACCTGTGTTGTGCAACATACCTATTTTCTCACTATTTTGTAAGAAATAAGGATTTGGGAATGTTGTTGCTGGATGAGTGTGTGCATGTGTGTGCGTAAAAGCTCCCACTGCTAAATTTGGAAACCAGGAATTGAATGGACTTTATCTTGGTCGTAAGTACTTTACAGGAAATACTAAGTCAATGGAAGCATCCTATAGCTACAGATTTTGAGGATCCTGAAGGTAAATCTTTTCAAGCGAAAAGTCTTAAAAACAGGGAATGCTGCCCAAACGCACGATAAATGTAAGGCACGATAAGTGTTTATATTAGTTTAGGCTAGATGTTTAAACGACATTTTTGTTTGTGCTTTATACTATAAGGCACCAGCTAGGACCCATGAGCAGAAAGTAGAAAAATTTTTAACGTTCTAAAAAAATTAGTCCTGAAAACTAAATGGGATCCAGGGTCAGTTCTTTGCAGGTCCTTCAAAAATTTGTCTTGAACACAGTCTAGTTTATGTATATTTGCATGAAATCTTTGCATATGGTTTTACAGCACCTGATCCGTGACTGAAGTTCTTGAGACTTTTACAGTGCAGCTAATAACAGTAAAAAAGAATTGTAAAGATCATATTGATTCTGTTAGTATTCATTTATAGATCTTTAGATTTAGTAAAAAGTTTTCCAAACTATTGATCTCAACATGGAAACATAAAGATGTCTGCATGTCTAATGTGTGCTGAAGCTCAAGTGTGCAATTACTATGTTATGCCTGGCAACTCCAAACTTTAACTGTCCTTTTTCTAGTAGTAGTGGGGAACTTGTTGAAGAGATCTGCAAATGACAAAAGTAGGGTAAGGAATATAAGGTGTACAAGGCTGAGAAAAGTGCTTAGGAGAAAACAAGAAAACAGAAGTAAAAGGATGTAGGTCTAGTGCTGATTCTTTTCCCATCGGGTTTTCTTTCTAAGTCTTTCATCCAAACATTGATCACATATTCTGCAAACATTTAAGTATATAAATTAAATCATTTCCTTAGGTAGAGTTATACATTCTCCTTAGAGAACCAGGACCCTACATACCAGCAAATATCAGAGTTTTTGCAAGTATTATACAAAGCTAAGACAAACAGTCCATCACTTAATCTTCCAAATGGATGACACGAACCTATATGCTTCATCTTTATCTTAAATGTTTTCACTCTTCTTTTTCATTTGTATATAATTAAGCTTGTCACACAAACAAGCAGTGGAGGATGGGGGTATGAATGGTGTCTATAAACATCAAGTCATAAGCTCTTAAAAGGAAGAGGGAGCTATATGAAAGTCTCTGAAATTCAGTTTAAGGTTGTGTTTCATGAGTTTTAAAAAAGCTTCCAGGTTATGGCAGCCTGCAAAAGACTGGATTTTATAACTCAGCATGTTCATTTCAAGACTGCATTCCTGTTCACAATTTTACCTAAAAAGGTACTTCTCATCAGCATTATCTTTCAAATCTACCTGAAAGATTAGAGGGGAAAGAAATGCCTTTGCTTTCTGCAGAGGCAAACTTGAAGTATGGTTAGTTTTGCTGTTGCCCCTGTAATCTTCTTGAGGAATCCTTATTAAGAGCTCTGTTTAAGCAGGAATAAATTACATGTAAAAAAGATTTCCAAATATGTCAGCTTTAGCATAGAAAATAAGTCATCCTTTTTAACATTGAAAAACGTGAGGATCAATGTTTCAGTCTTTCTCTGAAAAGAGATTTCATGGAGTAATGTTCAAGTACAGAACATCTGTTTTTACACTGCCACCTTACAGACCTCCGTAAATGGGTTTTACGCCATATAAATACTTTATGTAACAATAACATAATAAAGTTTAGAGATTTTCCAGAAAATTGAGGGGCAGTCATTAAATGACAACTCAGCGTATTTCTTCAGAAGCATTATGAAGTATACTGTATTTCATGATATATTTATGTTTTGAAATGTAATGGCTATGCAGCTCTTTTCTCCAGCATTCTGTATCTAGCAGTCCAGATCAAGACACTGCTCCCGGCAGGAGAAGACATAGCATTATTTATATCCTCTGTTTGCTCTAGTACAAGAAGTTGGAGAAAGGAGAATAACAGTTGAGTGATTTTTCAGTGATGCAACTTGAGCCATACTCTAATCAACTCAAGGTACAAGATCTTACACATAAAATCTCCTAAAGAAAAACATTTTCTAATTACGTAGCTAAAATCTAGCTTTTAACGTTCATGACAGAGTTAACCTACAATGGTATTTCTCTTTTTCAGTCAACTGCACTCATGTTTTAGATTTTATAGCTTTTATTGTTATCAACACAAAATATTGGTTACCTGTCCCAGAAAGCCTTGTTTTATTTTAGGCTTCTGATATGTTCAGCCTTACAGGTCTTTCCCCTAGCTATGTCGTTGCACTTTTAGCTACTTACTTTCTAACACTTGCCGTTTTCAAATACCAGTCTGTCACGTGTTCACTCTGCTTGACTGCAGTAAGAGAGAAAAGGAAATAGTAATATGCTTCAAGAATCTACTTTATTGGTAGTTGCAAGTTTACAGGCTATTTTGAACCTGCCTAAGGCAAGAGAATGAAAAAGCAAATCATATATACTGCAGTGTGTATACTTCGTATTTAATAACGCTGTTATTTTATAAAACACGTGAAAGATACTAAACTCCAAGGTTGAACACTGAGGCGATTAGAAGTCAAATAAGTAGCATGCAGTACTCAGTTTTCCTGCCTTCTTTATTCTAATGCTATTTATCATTATGCTGATAATACTATTAGCATTATTCTAATGGTAGCTTATCAGTTAAGTTATGGCAGTTATGAATATTTTAAAAGTGATCTAAGATTACTTTATTTTTTTTTGTTGGTGAATTAAGAATCCAAGACCATTTTCCAGCAGACTGCTGATTCCTGAAGTCTGTTTTACTTTTGAACGTGGAGTGTTAGTGAAGTCAATAGTTCCTAAATACTTTGAGCAAACCTTATTTCTATCATCATTTTCAACTGCCTACCAGAAAAATAATGCTGTCTTCCATCTATGTGAACTAAATCACTAGTATTTTAATATAATCTGGAGAAATATCTCAGTCAAAATTGTTGAGTATGTATAAATTTTGCTACCTAACATGAAACATCTCATCCATAATGCTTAAAAAGCACGTAGCAGGTGTAAAACATTTAGTGGTCAAAGCCTGTCTTCCTTAACGGAGCACTTCTGCAAATCAGACCAAAGATATGTCATGCTGGGCACCAGGAAAACTCAGAAAGTGTGGATTAAGTGAGATGATGTGCACTGCAAGGCAACTGCTGTAATCGCAGTGCCAGCTGTTCTCATCCTGTTGTCCCATATTTCACTAAGAATGTGCCTCCCACCCTCTGCAGCCAGTGAAAGAAGGATCTTATAAGAACAGTAGCCTCATTCACTGCTCAGGGGCTCACTTGCTCGAACAGCATGCATTAGGAGATGGTAGAAGGAGATGATATAAACCAAGCTGTAGGAGATTGTGTCCTTTAAGAAGATGTTGTTCAGAAGATAATGGTTGAGTTAAACTGTGACTGTTACAGGCCAGAACATTTTTGTGCTGAGGTAGCTAGCTTTCTCCCTTGTAAGGCATGTCATTTAACCGTAATAATTAACGTAAAAGTCTAACAGTGCATAATCTGAGTGTTTTCATGTCTGAAACAGAAGACCTTGCATATCTGAAACTATGTCCGTTTTTCCCAACTATGTCAGCTGGTCTACTAAATGATAGTACCACCACTGCTCCATTGCAACTGCAACACTGTCACAAAGCTATATAGACTTATCAGTAGGCGTCTTTGCCGGTGATGCTTATACATGTAATAAGAAATTGTCCCGAACAGTACATCTTCCTGTATCTCTCAATTTGCTACTCTCTGTACATATACCATGTTCAGAATATGTTTTTGTTGGGAATATAATGATATTTAAGAAGCTTTCCTTTAAAACATTGTAGGAGAAAAATGATCTGAAGGTCCAAAAAACAGGTTTACTGATAATCTCTTTGAAGTGTGTAACCAGGTGTGGAAAGTCCTAAAAGCTTTTTGAGGTATGGTGTTGACCTTTCAGCCAACTGGGCATAAAGCATAAATTTTCTTATGTAGCAGTGTCAAATGCTATGCGGCTATAACCTGCATTCCTAAAGAATACAATGAAATCAATGCATTTTAAAATCAATTCTGTTTAATGAGGAATTCTTTATGAAAAAAATGTAACTAGATTGACATTTTGAAAGAAAATATCGGCTCTTATTGAGTTAGATATTATGGAAGACTAAAATACTTTTTCTTTAATAGAAGTCTCTTGTGCATTTCTTAGTACAGGAATATAAAGTTTATTGATGAAGTTTACTTCTGTGCTGACAATCTCGGGATAGATAACACTACATATTCTATGGCTAGCATTTGGGAATACAAATACATAAAGCATTGATGTTCAGTTTGTTTATTTCCTTTCGTAAGTAAGCAGGCATTGTCTTCTATGTTTATAGCAATAGCATGACCTAGAGGAAATACGCTCCATGGCTGTCTCTGCTGATCATCCTGATTAGTTACCTAATCTGATTACTCTTCTTTGTGTTCCATATGTCAGATTCAAGGCAATAAACCAGCCCTGATGTACTAGACCTGCTGTAGTTTAACAAGAAAAAAAAAAAATTGTCTAATGTAATTAATAGACATTCAGTGGTTGTCCTGTCTTTAACTTGTTTAATCATCTACTATGAGAATTTGCTTTTGTTCATTTGTCCTCCTTCTCCCAGGCTTTTACTTGCAGCTACTATTATTACTTGCATGTTGGTTTTCGTAATGTCATAATAAAGGCATCACTAATGTCTTTATGTACATGGAAATTCTTCAACTGAAATAAGTTATTGGTTCAAAAGACGATAATTACTAAATATGCATAAAAATTAGTGATAGATACAATAGTATCAGTCTTCTTGGATAATGTTTTCTCTGTGTTTCTGTTCTTCTTTTGAAGAACACTTTCAGAATGTGCTGATTTTAATACTCTGCATGTATTAAATCATACTCAACTGAAACTAATTGTATGTTGAAGCTTTTTTAGAATTTAAAATGCGTAATCTGGACTTTACTGCCTAGAAGAAGGAATGACATAAACATCAGAAAACTTACTTTTTATCATGTATTTTTGTTCTTAAAGTAGGCTGACTTTACACATTAACTTTAATTTTAAAATGCCCTCAGTGGATTTAGAGATCTGGGTTAAATCCTTCCTTTACTGCTTGTACAATCTTATTAATTTTAAAGGGGCTTTATATGTGTAAATGAAGAATAAATATGACCTTTTGTTTTGAGATACAGGCTTACCGGACTGTACTATTTGTTAATCCTCTCAAAGAAATCTTTACTGAGGCATCTAGTTCCAGTGGATTACTTGCATGAGTAGCAAATGCTAGATCCACCTATGTCAAAACGTATTATATTTTAATGTTAGTTTCAATTGTTCCTCACTTCTCCTTAATGAGAGGGTTCCATTGCTTGCTTGAGGGTTATCCAAAATCTTAAGATATTTCTTGTCAAAGACTAAAAGAGAAAATTAGGTTGTATGAACAACGCATACTAACACCTAACATTATTACAGAGCAATACTTTTTAGTACGTATGGTTGGTCAACTTATTTTTTTCAAATGACAAGGATGTCACATTCTGAATTTCTTTTAGCAATATGAATGTTCTTACATAGGCAAATTTAGTTGATTTTAAATTATTTTTTAAATTAATGAGCAATGCCTAAACTAAGATACACAGCTGTAACCTCAAGGCAGTTTTGAATAAGGGTTGACGCAGTATCCCTAGCCTTGTCCTCATTAGTTACTCTAGCACATATGGTATGGAAGATCACCTACTGCTCTTAAACCATTTTCTAATACACCATATGTGCTGTAATACTCAGATGCGATGGGGTGAATAAAATGGTCTCGGTATCCTTTTCTTTATTCCTGAGAAAGCTAGAATAGTTTATTTTCTAGATGACTTGGATACTATAAATAAAACAACCTAATAAAAGAACTTCGAATTCACTTAATCAGACATCTAAAATGCAAAGGTAGCTGCACTGACTTAGTCAAGCACAGATGACTGCTTCATTGGCACACCACCGACAGCTGAGATGAATCCCTTTCTTAATGTTTAGTTCCACAGAATATTCCATTTATAAACTATATTTTACACTTTCTAGTACTGATAAACAGGTTTATGACTCCAAATACCATTCACAAAAAGCCACAGAAATTCCAATATGCTACAGAAGGAAGATGAGGGAGCATCACCAGTGTTCCAGGTCCCTGCTGGCATGTAATTCACGAAGTAAAAATGTTCAAACTGAGAAAAGTAGACCATGTCTTACTACAGGGGAAAATAAACAGCCTGCCATTGCCAATCTGTTGGTGAAATTTGAACGTATACCGGTCGTGTGCCCTAGCAGCAAAGGAAGATCACAGCATGCTGGACAGTATTTAAGCGGTGTATGGCCACAAGATTGAGGGAAGTGATTATCGGGTCTACTTGGCAGTTGTTGGACTGCATCTAGAGTGCATCCAAGTTTGAGCCCCCTGACATAAGAAAGATGGTGGTAAACTGGAGCAGAGGGCCACCAAGATGACTGGGGGCTGGAGCAAGGAGGGGCCGAGGGAATGGGCTTGTTTGGCTTAGAGCAGAGAAGACATCAGGGTGCAGCCTTCCAGCTCCTACGAGGAGGGTATTGAGAAGACAGAGTCATGGTCTTCACAGTGGTGCGTGGCAAGAGGACGAGAGACGGCAGACAAATTGAAATGAAAGAGGTTTTGGCTTGATAAAAAGAAAAGGCCACAAGGGCAGTCAGACAGTGGAACAGGCTGGCCAGAGAGGTGGTGCGATCTCTCCATACGTAGAGATTTTCAAGATCCAAATGGAGAAAGCCCTGAGCAACCTGGTCTGACCTCATAGCTGACCTTGCTTTGAGAAGGGGATTGGACTAGAGACCTCGTGAGGTACCTTTCCAGCCTGAATTATTCTATGATTCTATATTTGATCTAATGTAGCTAATTTAACCTCGATAGCTTTTTGTAAGGCCAGACACGTAAGGAAATGTCCGCTGCCTCCAGGAGCCGAAAAGTAACTCTCCAACTCTACGAAGACTAGTAGTGCTTTAGAAGAAGAAAATCTCTACTTCCTACCTTCCCTGTCTTTCTTTCTAAAGCCGAGTGATATGTAAGGGAGGAAAAATTCCTCCGTGGTCCCTCAGAGGGACCAGCAGAAGACGTGAAGCATCCTGTTAATATTATATAAACATGATAATTACACAATGAATAAATGATGATAAATCTCCATTTAATTTGTTGTTAGTATTTACTCGCCTTTAGCTCAAGTTTTCAGGTGTATGCAGGTTCCTGAGATCCTAAACCACTGGTTGGTTTGTTGTAAACATCATCTCACAGGAGTTTTCCTTTTATTCTTATTTGTTTATTGGGTGATGCAATATACCACTACTTAGAAGTTTATTCTACTTGTAGCATTATTGTCTGGAATGCAATAAATGCGTCATTTCCATCGCAAAAATACAAAAAGCCTAATAAGTGCAGAAATTTTATTTTATGTACTTCATAACAGTGTGAACACCGTCAGCAACTAACAAAAGGTCACAAAGATGTATTTTTTTTAAGGTAGGGATTCTGAAGCCCATGGCCTAAGGATCTAGTTAACTTTTGAGGGATTTGCTTTCATCTTCCGAGTGTTCCATATTTTATTATTAAAATGGACAGTTCTTCAGTTTAAGAATCCTCTCGTGTTAATCTAAGGTTTGGCCAAAATGATCTAGCAGAAGCAAGAAAGCAAATGCTATCTGAAAAAATACTTATTATAAATATGCCTTCATTCTATAAAACACCACTCAGCTCAGAAGTATGTGTAAAGTGAGATAATACAATAAAATGGTGGAGATTTGGATATTTGTGCCAGAGAGGGAGTGCTCGTGCAAGAGGTCACAGAGTAATTTGATTTAATTTTATAATTCTGTTTCTTTTTCGTTCATTATGTTTTTGTTATTTTCATTCCTTAATTTATATCTCCTCTCTTTTCAGGAGCCTGATTCTGAATACACTGTGTTTCAGGTAAAATCCTTTCCATAAATACAAATGTTCGATGAAATAATTAGCAAGAGTTTCTAATACACTGAATAATACTTATTTCCTATGTTAATTCCTTAATGCCGTAAGTTTGTTTTTTGACAAGAGTTTTTTTAATTGTCAGCTTTAGTATTTGCTCAAAGTTTATTTCACTGTTATGTATTTCCTTTAATTTTATTCAGCAGTTCAGCAGTAGCTCAGTGCCTTCTAAAAGCTAAAGGGAATGTACTGTGAGCTGAGCGACCTTCATATACTGATGAGATGAGGAAAAAGCCAACATGTGTTTCACAGATGCAACAGTCTTGATGCTCTTAGGGCCTTGTTTCATATTTCATTTAATTTAATGCATAGAGTCTATACTCTTTTTTTCTTATGGGTCCTGTAGCTAGTACATAAGAATTTTGAATTGTCTGTTTGTCTCCCAAAGTAGAGGTCATCTATCCATAGTTTTAAGTAACATATTTGACATTTTTCTCTCTTTTGCTGTTTTGATGAGAAGACCTGTGAAAAAATTGTCACGAGCAGTACTTTAAGCTACAGACTGGTATTTAATTAAGGAATAGTATGCAATATTTAAGGTTATTGTTGCCTGTTAAATCACAGACTAGGAACTCAAAACTGGAAGAGCAGCCAAAGGAACTTATTTTTTTATGATGGATATGTTTCTGATAATGACAAAGAGGTACATTGCTTTTAGAGACAAGTTCTCTAATGTTTGTTATGGGAAAAATCACAGTGATTTACCCATATCTATGTTAAGACCTGGCCCCAATTTTAGCAAGTCCTGTAGAGAAACTGCAGTTCCCAGAAGAGGATCGTTCCTATGGGCAGCTTTTCTTATTTGCACTAGGAAATTAGCCTTGGCTACTGAGATCTCTACTTTCAATATATTCCCGATATAGACAATGAGTGTGTTAACGTCAGACACACGTCTCTTAAAAAAACAAAAAACAGTACATTCAGGGTGTTATGAAATTCAACAAAGTAACTGTTTCATATAGAATGATGAAAATCATTTAAGGATTGTGAACATTTAACTGGAAAATCTCAATACTAATTAAAGGTTGTCACCTAACTACAGAAGAAGAAACTAAAAGATAATAAAGTAGATCTGCATTACGTCTTGTCTGGCCTAGATTCAAATCACCCTGCCCTGTTCCTTTCTCCTCGTACTTAACCAAAGGTGTCTAATTGTGAATGAACTGGATAGCTAAACTCCTCCTGTATTTCTACTGGGAAATAATTTTTGAAGTATTGAGTAATACCTTTCCTCATTTTTCGGTGGACTTTCTTTTTGGTAGACAGTTATAAAATTGTATAGAGATATTATATGAGGTAAGTGTAGTGGAAAGGTATGGTTTAAAACCTGATGAGTGAGAAGTGCCCCTGTTCAATGCTGACTTATGTTATGAAAAGTCTGAAGTCCAGATCTTCTCGTGTCTCTTATTTAAAGAATAAATGTTTCTATGTGTTTGACCTTTAGTTCCATTAAGAGCAGCATAATTCTGTCTCTCATTTGAAATGTCTCCTTAGCAAACATTAAACATGCTTTTCCGCTGGACTGCTGTAGCCCATGTCAGAAAAGAAACAAATCTAATTATGCTGGTAATGAGTCTTATTCTGGAAAATTTATGGTGAGCTGTTCAATATCTGAAAGAAGTTCAGTGATTGATTTTGTGGCTCTCTTTATCATGCCAGCTCTGTGAGTACGTTACGAGTCTATTAAGCTATCAGTAAAGTAGCTGAATCGGCACTTAGTTTGTTGGTACTTCTGTATGACTACTGCTTTTTTTTTTCTCCCCATTCATTTGGTGTCTGTACAGTCTATCAGAAGCTTGTCACATAGTCTAGGGTTATGCTTGCCTTTCAACACTGCTCATATAATCCTCCAAGACATTTCCTTTAGCCATTTGTCAGTTCAGTTCACCAATAAGTACTTCAGTAATCTCACAGTCTGTTAGAGATGCTTAATCTATACATTTATGCATTTTTACAGCTGATGCTTTGAAACAAGGAGGTTTGGATTATCTTTTTAAAGACTATCCATTGTAGATACCTGATAATGCTGTAGATAATACCTTTAGTTGTTGGTTATAAGATTTTCTTTCTTTCTCTACTGCTTGGGAAGGGCATTACTTTGCGTTACAGTAGTTTTGCTTAACCTCTCTTCTCCCATCCCACTTTGCATAAGGTGTTTGCCAGCTGTTTTTGAATGGCAGTCATGGCTGGGGATGTCTTCAGAAGCACAAGACCTCACACAGTTGCCTGTAACCTAAATCTATCGTAACGTTTCATAAGGCATGAAATTCTGTCCTCCAGACTCAGTGACTGCATCTGTTCCGTTCCAAAAGAACTGTCTTATGTCTGCTCCACATCCCCTTTCCACTTCTGTCACGCAGCTGGGTGGTGAGACAGGCAGGGAACTACCAGCACACTGCCTTGACTGACAGGCTGAGCCATGCTCGAGCTTACGGGGTCTACTTGGATACATGGTTCTCAGTGTGCTTTTTCAAATGTATGTGTTGGGATCATGCTTGAAGCTGCACTTGTTACCTGCATGTCAGGCAACTCTGATTTTAAAAGTGGCTTTAGGTCCACCTATAGCATATGTTTAGATACACTCAGTTGTTTAAATCAGTTCCTTACCTAAACCTATTAAAACTGTGCAGGGAATAATTTAAAAAAAAAAAAAAGGCAAAAGTGCTAATTAGATTATTTAATTGGTGTCTTAAAGATGTTTGTCTTTTTGCTTTATCCTTACTCAGGCTGCTTGGAGCCTAAAAGCACGAGCTTTAACAGAAATGGTGTATGTGGATGAAATCGATGTGGATCAGGAAGGAATTGCAGAGATGATGCTTGATGAAAATGCTATTGCTCAAGTTGCACGTAAGAACAACTTTCACTTAAAACACCTTGAAGCAACAGGAGCTCTTTGAGTCATGATTGTCATCTAGAATAAAATAGTGCACACTGGACTAATCTGATCAGCCTGTTAGTTGTTGTTGCAACAAGAGTTTTAGATTGTTTTCAGGTTGCACAGTGAAGTTGAGATATATCACAAGAGCATGATGTAGTGCTTCAGTCTGTTAGCCAGGGGTTCAGATAAATAGTGTTTTGTCAGGTTTTTCTTTACATCTTTGTATTCACTAGCTCTTTTCCATCAGTGCATAGATTTCTTTGACCCCTCTCTAGTCTCTATGGGAAGCTAGAGAAATATATCCCCCTTGATGTACTGTGAATCCTATCCTTATATCTGTATTGTACGCAACAGTCTGGCCCAAATTTGACATCACTCTTTTGCATCGTTTCCCACAAACATTTTTTAATGGGCTTTTGCTCTTTTCTGTACAGTTCCTTTCCAGGGTACTTCATCAGCCCTGTCATTGTTTCCTCACTGCAGCTCTCCAGTTTCCTCAGTTACGTTCTAAGTGGACAGTCAGTAGTAGTCTTCCACTATTTTTTGGGCGTTATTTATATTTCTTTCTGTTTCTTTGGTACAGTCAGCATGAGAGGAGGTTTTTTGAATCATTAAAAGCTTTTCTCATTTGATTAGAAGGAGGCAATCGTATATATGTATGTATCTGATTACATTTGAAAAGAAACCATTGGCATTACTTGCTTGGTCACATAAAAAACAGTCAAGCAGTACTCAAGTTGCACTTAAGTTGCACTTACACGTTTTGATAATCTCATTATATGTATTTATCTCTAAAACAGCGTAATAATATTGCTTAGACTTTTATTTGATTTTATGCCCCCTGTGGTAGAGACCATCTGCAAGAAAAATCATTTGATGAATATTACTGAGAAATAGGGCATTCTGGAAAAATACATTCATACTATATTTAAACTGATAAAGAGGTGACTTTCTGAATGGCATGTCACAGACTTCAAAGCCAAAGAAGGTCATTGTGATACTATAGCCTACGCTCCTGAATCACTGAGATCAGACTTCATTGTTCATGCTTCAAATCCACTGGATGTGCTTGAACTACTATGTAGTTTTTCGGAAACTGTAAAAACTTTCCAGAGAGAAAGAATCCACTGCAGTGTTCAGAAAATTATTATGCTGTATAAATTTGCTATGTTTATCGGTATGTGCCATATCTCTGGCAGAAATTATCAGCTATAGCTTCAGCTTTTGATTCTTTTTGTACATATTATGCTCAATATGAAGTCTCTATTTTAAAGGCATGTTTCCAAAGTAAATAGTTAAGGACTATGATAAAGTCACCTATTGATCTTCTTTTTGATAAGCTAAGTGATCTTCTCATTTTGAGGTATATCTTTTAATTTTTGAATGAGTCTTAAAATGAGTCTCCTCTGAGCCCTTTCCAATTATCCACGTCCTCCTTCAGTTTAGGTCACAAGACCAGACAGCAGTCCACGAACAATGACAATCACATAGAAAATACATCTTTTCTTCTGCAGCTTGATTTTTACCTTGTTTATATCTCTAAATTGCTTCTCTATTACGCTTTTTATATAAAAGGTAGGTGCAGCTATCACTTCCACTTTTACACATGACTTACTAAAAATGGGTACTTGTTGACTGTGTACTTTTTTTCTTCCTGTTGGAATGCGGTAGCCATACTTGGTCTTGACTCAGGGTCTTTTACTGAGGCAAAGCTTCCAAGATATCCTCCCCCATTCTAATGGTAGTTGACATTCTTAAAAAAATTATAAAATACCTACCACATTAAAACTGGTATTATCTGTACTTTGCTTACAAAGCAATTCAGTCTTTTGCATCAGTTACACATTCACTTCAATTTTGCATCTATCCCTATCATTGTTTCGAGACAAAACTATTCACATATAATTTTGCTTTCTCTTGCGTTATTGAATAATTACTTAATAATATAGAGTTTGCAAGAAAAAAATACTTTTCAGTGATTCCTGTTCACACATATATTCTGCAGCTGCCAGTGGCCAGATGCATTGCTGTTTCCTCTTGATGTTTATTTATACCTAGGTCAGTTGGGATTCACAAAGGAGGGACCCACAACTGAGTTGCCTAGGGCAAGGTCCAGGGAACTATGTCCTGCAAGCATTCTCCAAGTATGCTAAAACCACAGAACAATCATTGATATTCAAACACGTGTCTGAAAGAGGGATTGCAGTGGCTTGCAGTTTACATGTTACTGTGGTGCAGTTTACATGTTACTGTGATAGTTAAAAAAGAATGCTCAGAAAGTGAAAGACTAGTTCCTTGCCCCCTAGGCTGAAAACTTGAAAGACACTTTCTCCGTTTCTCAGAAGAGTGCTGTAGTAGTCAGATTAGAAACTTGGCTGGGTGAACTTTCCACCCTTCCTGTTGTACAGGAAAGAATTCAAGATTCAGAGGGCTATAAAGAGGAAGTAAGCAGGAGGGAGCCTATCTGCAGCTATCCCAACAGAGAGAGAATCTTGAGCTCTGGTCCTTGTTTCGGTATGACTTACATGTTTGTTTAGATTTACAAAGGTGATCATAGCTAATGCCTTTTTTGCATTAGGTAACACTGAATACAGCTACAGTTAGGGAGCTACTGTAATATTAGAGACAGAGGTGCTTGATGTCAGCCTGGGATAAGGAGCTAGAAGGAATTTAGGTTGATTTAGAGGTTATCACTTTGAAGAAATCTAATAAACTTCATACTTAACTACAACAGAATGGTAGCATCTCAGAGACAGTTGAAGTTTGAAGATGGAGAGTTATAAGACAAAAAAGGGCAAATGTGGGGCTTATCTTGAAAAAAAAGGGAGGCAGGAAATTATCTACCTATCAATTGAACTTCAATTCTTGAAAACATTTAGAATAAGGCATTTCGTAAGTACCTAGAAAATAAGTAGCTGAACAACACTGATTTGTCAGAAACAACTATGTCAGCTTAATCTGTTTTCCTTCTATACATGGTAGCGGGCAGTGAACAGACAAGCAGGTGTAGATGTCTTATCTTACTTTTAACCAAATTTTTAAAATAATCTCTTAGACATACTCTTAGAAGGTTAGAAGACCCGATCTTGATTTAATTATAATAAAATTAAAGGTGTAAAGGTGATTGAAAACTTACATTCTGAAACTAGTGTTTCTTAGTGATCCACCATCAAAATAGAAAGATGTGAAACGCAGGACTTCTCATCCGTTTGCCGGGGCCCACGCCAGCTCAGAATTTTCATTGATGACCTTTGAAGATGGATGAGTTTGAGCTTTACCATACCCTACGTTGAGAGTGGGGGAAGTATATGGATCTAAGGACCTGAAGTATCATTCTCCAATTGTCCTGTAGCTGAAAGTTTTTGCCTGCTTAATCAGGTTTGGGTGGTGTTTTAATCCCAGATAGAAAATGTACCATTTCAAATTAGCTGGATCTTATTGTTCAGATAACCTTTTTTACTTACATAGTATCTGTTGCTCTTAAGATGTTCTAGAGAATATAGTCTATGCCTCTTGTAGTCTGTATTTGAAGACAATATTGTCTATTGTCACTGAAAAGAAGGGGTTGAATGGTACCTGAAACTCAAGGGAAATGAACGTTGCACAGGTACTAGTGAAGAGTTCATTGAAATCTGTAGGATATATGAGGAGGAAAAGTAAGAAGGAACAGAACATCCTTGCTATCTCTAGAGGAAGGATGAGGAGAAGAACTGAACTAGAATAATCTACCAAGAGGATTACTTTTTCCTCATGTTCGTTATGACAGATTTATCACAGTAGCCTGACAGTTTACCACCGTGAAATAGTATTGTGCAGTTTGATTTTCTTGTCCTCTTTGTCTAGTGCTATGTCTCCTCAGTCTGAACCAAGAAATTTGCAGTCTATTAGGAGACGCACACATTTTTAAAAGTCTGCTGCCCTGGGGTGCAGTATTTCAATGTGAAGTGAGCAATGCTCTTATTTTATAGGACCAGGAACATCTTTGAAACTCCCGGGAACTAGCCAAGGTGGAGGTCCCAGCCCAGCTGTTAGGTATGTGATTATTTATTTATGGAAAATGTGACTGGTAAAATACTCTACGTAAATGAGCAAATCCTAAACTTAACATCTAAAGTGACATGCCTCAGATATAAGTGTTTAAAGTCTCTATATCGATAAATACTGCTCAACATGAGGATAATGTGCTTAACATCTTCAGGCCAGTAACTCAGTCAGGAAGACCTATTACAGGATTTGTGAGACCCAGCACGCAAAGTGGACGGCCAGGTACTATGGAACAGGCTATAAAAACACCTCGAACAGCTCACACGGCTCGTCCAATTACTAGCGCTTCTGGGAGATACGTCAGGCTAGGAACGGTAAGTTCTTCTTGGACTCTGCTCCTAGAGAGATGGCTCTCTTGACCGTAGTGTGTGGCACAGTGATGCTGTAGTTGACTTAAAAGCTGTATCTAAACTCAGGCTTTAGGGAGCTCAGCATTTTTAATTTCTTGTTTAAAGTGTTTTCAAAGTAAGGTTTTAAAATATAACCTCTCATTAGTTTGCTAATCTGTTTATCTATAAAATATACATACAGACAATGTCACAAGTTCTGTGAGACTCATTTTTTTTTCACTGAAGACCATGAAAAGTCTACATTGTGATTTCACCTCGAGCATGGTGAAGCCTTCTCCAAGTTTTTCAGTTTACTAGAAAGCAATTATTATGTCTCAGTATCTGTCACTTCAGAAGATAAGGAAAATTAACTTTACTAGTTATATCCTGTTCAAATAGCAAAATTAATACAGTGCCACTGGCGTGAATACGTAAGACAAATTGACATCACGTTATTGGCAAAATGTGATATCTTAATAACTTCTCACTCTCCTGGGTATGAAATGATCTCCCTGAACCTTTCTAGAAGATTTTTTCTATTAGGTACCTCACCTGCTTTCAGACCATCTAACCTTAAGTCCAAGCTCCTTGTTTAGGCACGTTATAGTAAGTAGAGAGATGGAAGAGAAAGGTAGCTCCAGAAGGCAATTCATCCCACCTTGAAGGCAATTCATCCCACCTTTTTTCAAGACTGTATGGGATAAACAGCAGTCTTGGACTAGATTCCTGACTTTCCAGAAAGTTGAAATTCTGTCAGGTGAATCCCTGTTTCACAGTATGGCAGTGGATTTACATATGCTTCATTTTTATTTTTCTTTGTATACCTCTGCTAATACTTTGAAAAATGAAAAATGCAAGGGATTTCCTACTGAAAGCTTTTTTTCTCCCCTTCAGGCCTCAATGCTAACAAATCCGGATGGCCCTTTCATAAATACGTCTCGACTGAATTTAGCAAAATATGCTCAGAAACCCAAACTGGCAAAGGTATGTAATTATTTGGTTGACGTTCTGATATCTGTTTCTAACTTTCTGGGGTCATTCCAACGTAACTATACATGGGATTGTGGACATGACCGGTGAAGTAAAGTTCAGAAAAAGAGTGAGTGTTTGTGTTCTGTCCACAAGCAGTAGTTATCAGACTTGAAACTGAAAACATATCTGAAGAATGTTGAATGTTGAAAGTGTAAGCCAGGGAAAACATTTGGATAGAATAAAATATTCCATTGGTAAGGATCCTCCTCTGTGCCTAGAAGTGTAGTTGTGTCGTACAAATAGATGGCAATACTGGCCTAAAAACGTTCCAATGGTTTAGATTTTTCGCTTTGATTTTATGGCACGAGTTGACACTCTTTTTATATATAAATATTTAATCTTTCTGTTCAGGATTTATTTTTGTTTTTAGTTCAGATCTTATGATTGACAGACGTTGAAACTGAGGCTGTCTGCCAGCAGAATAGGTTTATTAGTATATCTGCCCAACTTACGGGTTTTGACCCTGACTGGAGAGACCCTAAAGGTAGTGTAATGCCCTGTCACTCTGTGACCTTGCAGCTGAATCTTTCCCCAACAGGACCTGTTGTATAGATTATGATGTTTTGTGTGCATACTTCATTCACAAAAACCAACTGTTGGACTGAGATGATTCATTTTGCAGAAGGTATCAAAGGACTGTCAGACGGACTCTTCTCTCCTGGGTTATTTGTCTCGTGGCCTAGAAATGACAGAACTTTTACATATTCAGTCTATTTTGAGAAAGTCTGCTGGTGGAAGTCAGTTCCACCAGCCTAAAACTGCAGTTAATCATTTTTCATAAAAGATAGCAAACTCCTCTTTTTTTTTTTTTTAAGCTGCTTTTTAAAAAACTGATTTAGACTGATTTAGGGCATTGTTTTTCAATGCGATTTTCTAAGGATGTAGGTCTTATGTGATCAGTGTGTGCTTCACCCACTACTTGACATCTCTGTCCTTTGGCCAGTTAACCGGACTAGACAGGCAAATAGATCTCAGCTACGATGTGTTCCTTAAAAGTCTTATCACTGGCTAGATAGGAAAGACTTGCAAGCCAGCATCTCCATTGAGGAGAATTACAAGCCAAATATTTAGCAGTTCTGAAAAATATGCATGCCTTTTATCCAATTATGTCCTGGCCAGTCAGTCAGCACACACACATCATTCTAAATCCATCACGGTCAATAAAATAGGAGAATGTAAGCAGCCTGGGAAGAATTAAGGAACACTAGAGACCTCCATAAGAAAGTAGGCTTTATTAGTTCATCTGTTTAAAGACAGCTAGCTTTTAATTGTGTTGGATAACTCTGTATACTGCTAAGTAGGTAGGTTAGCTGTCAGATGAAATACTTATTTTCAGTGACAGCTCTCAGGCATGCAACACACATTTTTAACAATTTTTTTTTTTTAATTAGCTTTTTCCAAGGTAGAGTAGCTCTATATTCCTTCAGTTTCATGTGAAAAGAGGCTTAAGCCAAAAAATACGGAGCAACAGTCCTCCTGGTAACATTTGTAGACAGCAAGTGTGCTTGTCAGTATTATGAAGCTAATACATTATGACATTAATGTTTCACACAGAATGCAAGATCTAAGTTTAAATTTGGAGCTACATGGATTTATAACTTCTTTTAAAACAAGATAGCATTAAGGCTAAAGCCAAAGCAGGAGGTTACACTGCAGACTGCACTTTGTGTTAAGTCATTGATTAATGGTTTAAAACTCTTTGAGCTGTCGTCTTTCTCAGGTGCAAGGAGATGATAAATCCTGCAACCATTAAGTTCACACAGTTAGCCTGTTTATTCCTGTCAGTATGTACTCCTCCTACTCACCTCTTCCTTATTCGTTTGCAAAGCATACTTATCAGAGCTGTCTTTAAAGTGGATTATGTATTTCTAATTGCAGGACTAGGTCTTCCTATGTGTTTAAGTATACAAGAATGGGCAAAATAAGTTTGTAAGTGGTTTGTGTCTGACTAGCCATGTGCAGGACTAGTGCCGGAAGCCTCGCAGTAGACATCTGAGATATCATCTGTCCCTAGAGAGAACGTCTGTTAAATCTCAGTTAGCGATTGGTTTATGCCATGAAACAGGAAATTTTATCTTTTTCAGCTTGTGGATTTTTAATAGAGTTAGTCAGATAAATCTCGATATTTTTATCCAAGTGAATGTCCACTCATTTAAGTCCATTTGAAGGTCAGGGCCTTTAGATAGTGGCAGTAAATTCCTCATGCCAGCCATCTGAAAAACATCTTTTTTTATCACTTTTAGATGTACTTGTTTTTATTGAATGCTTCCTTGTTATTGAACGTTTCCTTGTTAATGAACTACAAGAGGAGATGTTTCACTACTTCCTTATTTTCTCTTCTTTTGTTATTTTCACTTTTAATCATCTTCCGTCTATTCTAATCTCCTCATAAATGTATTTTTGCTAATCATTCTTTACTGTCTTTTGGTTGTTGGTTCAGATCCTTTTCAGAACAAAAGCAGAAGAAAAGTAGGTTGAGATTTACTCTCCTTATCCGACATGACAATTCATCAGCAGTTCTGTAGTTTCCTTAAGATTAATCTTTTAAGAATTTTGCCTAAGAAAAGCTAGCAGAAGAGTCATAGAAAGCCTTCAGATGATTGCTGGCTCATTCTTTCTTTCTTTCTTTCTTTCTTTCTTTCTTTCTTTATGGAACAGTTTTTTAGCTAGGGAAGTTTATATGTTGTGATGCATAAAATGAATTTAGCAAAATGTTCAGTTCTTTTGCAGTGATTAAGACCTGGGATTTGGGTGGGCCAGTGCTGAAAAGGAACAACAGTCAACTCAAATCGAACCTTGTGTTGCTACTATCCATGCTACATTTCTGTGAATAAATAAAGGATTTCAGTCTCAATTTAGTTATCTAATATCTTTCAGAATCATTTTATTCACTTAAAAACTACTCCTGTTACCTGCTGTGTATTCTTAGTTTAGAGCAAATATAAGGTAATGTGCCTTGCTTAGCATTATATAGGAGTAAAGGACGACGAAATTATATTGCCTTGCAATTGTTGTGGGCTAGGAACCTGCCTTTATGAACCATTACCATAGTTCAGCTGATGCACATAACTTCTTTAAGCTTTGATGTTAGGATGGTGTGTCTGAGCACCAAGTTCTAAAAGTATATTATTATTAGCATTTCTCATTTATGAGTAAAAAGGAAGCTGCAGATTCCAAAGTTCTGTAGGTTTTAGAGGTTTTTTTTCGTGGATGACAAGAATTTGCTCAACTACGTTCTGGTTTTAGGTTAATTAGATTTTAAAGTACTTTAAGCACCTAAATATACACTGCAAAAAGTCTTTGTTAGATGACTTGTTGGTTTTACACTTAAGAAGTCACAAAAACTGTACTGGGATTTCAAAATTTCAATCACTTTCCAATTATAGCTAACTTTTTTTCTAAAGTGACTTTAAGGACCAAAGAGTAGAGCTTTCCTTTAATGACAATGTAGCACATTGATAGTTTTTTTCTATTCATGTCATAATTAAATACAAATTTCAGCAATTGTGGTTGTAAATGTGATTGCTATCATAAAGAACTAGCTTCTGCCTAACATAACCGAGATCCTGGATTCTTCTCAGATAACTTATATTCATTTTTATCTTCAAAAATGACAATGTTTTAAATATTCTCTTGACAGGCATTATTCGAATATATTTTTCACCATGAAAATGATGTAAAAAATGTGAGTAATCTATGCATTCCATTTTCAGTTTTTGTTAAGTCTCATTCTGTTATTTCTGTCAGTATTGTGCTAAGTTAATGATCTAACTAGGATATCATATCTTGTACAGAAACGAAGCTTTAAAAGTTGTTTAAAAGAAAGAAATCCTTTCTAGAAGTATGATAATTTGCAAATACCAAGATACCAGTTGATCTCTTTTTTCCAGAAGCAAAACTAATGTTCTAATGCTGTGAAAATTAGGTCCCTCGCCTATCGACATGAATAGGCACCTATATTTAATGATTTGATGTTAACAGAATTTACTGGAGGAAAGAGATTGTGAAATGCTCTTCTGACTTCTTTTAAGACAAAACTCAGTGTGTAGTCTTCCACACTGTAAGGATAACCTAAGATATAAGAAGCAAGTATAAATCAGTGCCTTTCCTATCCTACAAAGAGCATGAGAATATGAGAAGTGAGAAGAGTCTCACTAAACCTGTTCCAAAAACATTTTGTTGCTGTCTGGATTATTGGAAAATTGCCAAATCATTAGCTTGCAGATTCAGCATAGTATCATAGCTAGGTGTTCGGAGCTTTTGTTTTGTTTGTTCCTGTCCTGCTGGGGTCTGCCTTCAGCTACCATCATTCTAGCTTGCTATATGTGGTTAGTTTAACTCACATCCTCTCACCCTCCTTGTAAGACCAGGTAGGTGTAACATAAAAACAGATACACTGGATTGGACCAGAGGCGCATCTATCCGAGTATCTTGCTTTAGGCAGGGGTCAAGAGATCTGCAAAAGTTCTAGTGTTAGAGCAAGATACTTCTCTCCACTATTCTCCCATCTTCCAGCAGTTTTCAGTTCAAGGACTTTCTGTGCAATTGATAGCTTGTATGTGTTTAGTAACACACCCATCTGTTGGCAGGTTTCTCATCTGTGAACTTGATCAGCCTCCCCCAACCCACTGTCAAGTTTCAGTATCCTCAGCATCCTCTATGAAAGACTTCCATAGCATATCGACATAATAACTAAGAAATTGCCTTTTTTTTTTTTTTTTAAAGCATTCTACCTACAAATTTCATTTACTATCCTCAGTTCTCTTACTGGGAGTCAGTGAATGATCAATCCCTTAACATGAATTCTTTGCCACTGTTTTTATAGACCTTTACAATAGCCTTGCCCCAGTTGTTCAATTTTCATGTAGAAGAGCCATAGCCAAATTAGGCATCAGATAAGAGCTTGAGTCCATGGAGCAGCAGTAGCTGGAACTACATGCCAGGTAGTTGAACTGCCTAGCAAGTTCAGGCTTGATGTTAAGTGATAAGTTCCAAAAGATTGTCCATTACTGGAAGAAGGTGAAAATATGTGACAAAAATAACGATTGAACTGATCATCATTGGACATTTTAAACTACTGGGATGATTGTTTATGCGTTTGGGTAAAAGAAAAATAGGAATGAAAGGTATTTGGTGAAACTACAGTAAACTAAATTATCGACAGGAGATTGGGCGCTCTTTCTGAAAATTTAATTCCATAGAGGCAAGGTATATTGTAGTCCCAATGGAAAGATTATATTGTCCATACCATTGTCTATAACATTTATTCCACGGAAGTTTTTCCCGTTGCTTTTTAACACCCTCTGTAGCAGAATCTGACAGTCTGCTCTAGGACTGCAGATTGGCCTACGACTGCAGATTTTACAGTAGTTTACCTAGCTCTGAGATTAATACAGTTTTCCTAATTTTACAGTTTCCCTCTTGCACTATCCAAAACCTTTCTTTGGCTGTTCTTCATATGTTACTGTACTGAATGCGCAAGATCACGTTTGGGTACTTACTGTTTAAACTTTCAGAAATACTTAGATCAAGCTTGCAGAAATTTTTTGGCAGCTCACCCAGGAAAATAATTTGCTTTCTGAATGAATAAAGTGTTAAAATATTTCATTACTCTGTTAGGTATATGCATGCAGTTGAAATGGAATCAAAATTTCTGTTTGAAGTTTGTATAAAAGTACTGTTTCATGTCAATAGTGCGAAGCTGATTAAACAGTTATTGAATTTTCAGCAGCACTTCAGATGAAGTTAAGAGCTGAAGTTAAGTTCCCAAGTTTCTTCTTTGATTCTGTTATTTTCAGCCAGTTGATCAATAACACACAAAAAATATTTTCTTGTAATTGACGTAGATCAGAATGATTTCCAAATGTACTGCAGTGTGAAGCTTTTAATCTAGTATCAAATGATTATAGTTTCAAACTGTCAATTTATTGCGGAGAGTTCTTTTAAGAGTATCCAACTGCAAAGCGCTATTAATCCAAATCGTGGCTGAACCAGTAAGCGCAAGTGTCAGAGCTGTCAGAGAGAAATAGCAGTTAACATTTACGTATTCTGATACTAAATATTAAGAAAGTCCTTTTTTTTTTTTGTGCCACTAATAATGAAAATATACCTTTGTAACTGAGAACCCAGTTCTCAGGAATAAAAGAATCACTTAATAAGATGTCACGCATGCCCGTGAGCTACACTTTAAGGACATACAGGATCTCTAGGCTGGACAGATAATTTTAGAAAATGCAAGCAATTTTCCAAGCACTCCAGAAAAATTTATAAAATGTTGTTACATTATATTGCATGTATTTTGAAGTCCCTGATGAAAATTCAGGATGACTATCTTTAAGAAAAAATTGTGGATATGTTTTTATCAGTACCCTATCCACAATATTTAAGTCTTTATAAACAAAGAATGCGTCAGCTTAATCAGCACTGTTTGTTGTATAACGACAGGGAGATCAACATTTTTGGTTAATGATAGCATCCTGTAGAAATTTTTTTGGTCTTGGTTCACAGCACAAGGTACCTTTATGGTGTAACATATATCATTGAAGAGATATTTTTTGAAATTGTTCGCTGTTTGGCTTGCTTTCTTTCGCTTGCTTTTACCCCTCTTTTGCGCTTATGTGCTTCCTTTCCCCCCATTTTACGTAAGATTTTATTCTCCAAACTGTCCTTTCCTCCATTTGAACCTCCTTATCTTCATAAATTTTTCTTAAACAACCAAAAAAAGGCTTTAATTTCTCCTTCCGCTTTGCTGTCCTACCAGTGACATTTCTTTAATTTTTTTTCTCTCTTCTCCCTGGAGAGGGCGTGGTTGGTCATTTAGGATTCAATAGAGAAAGAGAGGATACGTTAACATTTTAAAGGTTGATCTGGATCTCTGTTGATCATTCTCCAGAATATTCAACGTAATCTCTTGCATCTTTGTACTACTCTCTAATGTGTAATTTTGTATATTCCTAAAAAACACTTTTCTGCGTGACATGAGAGGAAAGAGCTTGGAAGTTATTCGATCAAAGCCTGGGAAACTGGCTTGCTTGGTTACTGTATAGACTGAAAAGCTTCTGCTGGCAGACCATCCGCATGGGTGGAACTGGAAGAGCAGTTCCTGCGGTTCTGTGCACACCCAAGACACGTGAGATTGTGCTCTACACCTGAAGAAGAGTGTGGAAAGCAAAGGAGCAGATTGTTTCTTTTTGTCCACAGTTCCCCAGTAAATTAGTAGCAGTTTTAGCCCAGTATCTCCAAAGATCAATTTCTTTATAAGTCATATGAAGAGACAACACAAAAGTAGTAGAGAGGGCGTCCTTCGTTTGTCACTTTGTGGATCTGGAATGGTCTGTTCTGTTTTCAACTGCATGATTATTTAAAAATCAAAGGTAGTTTTACCTTTGATTTCAGTTCTGCCTAGTAACCAGGCAATCTGTAGAAAGAAAAAAAAAATGCCTCAAGAATTTCAGTTGAGGGATGGCATTAATCAGTATGCCTTCAGCAG